TTAATTTTCATTTAACCAATTAAATTACATTAAATTACATGAACTGTGAATGTAATTTTATAACTAATATAAAATATGCCTAATAAACACTTTGACATGCACATATAACTAATATAATCATGCCTAATAAACACTTCACTAACTAAAATATATACTATAGAATAGAAATATATAATTATAAAATAATACAGCAACGAAATCTTTCAAGCTTAGCCGAAATAGTTTCAGCTGATCTTAGTGTCTCTGTACACGAACATCCAGATGGTGTAATTTGAACAGAATTAGTTTTGGATTCAAATTGAGTTAAAGTAGTTCTAGTTGAAGATGGTGTAAATTGAAACAAATCAGTTCTAGTTGAAGATTGAAACAGAATAGTCTTTATTGAAGATGGTGTAATTTGAATAGTATTAGTTGGAGTTCCTGACTGAGATAAAATAGATTTTGTTTTCTTTTTAGGTGGTTGTTTTTTACTCTTTGGTAATCCTGGTATCATGTTTTTTCCAGAACCTTCGAACTTTATGAATATATTTAAAGTCGCCAATGCCATTTTAAACTATTGCAGAAATATGCATGATTAAATAGCAGAATTTGATATAAAATGTTAATAAAACTAAAAAAATTGGGTTTACCGCTGATAGTTTGCCGTTATCATCCGCAATATTCATACCAAGTTCATCATGTGCCATCTGTTTTAAAGTGGGGTGGAATGTAGCACCTAATGATAATAACGCAATGTCCCGTTGATTTATATTCGAAATGCTTTTGTCTAATTCTAATGGCTTTATAAAATAAAATAATCAAGATATTAATTTAAACCCATGTAAACATCAGATCAGACTGAATAAAAATTAAGAAATATTTACCCTAAGAATCTTAAAAATACTATTACCAATAACAATCTTATCCTTTATTTTGTTCATCACTAATTCTCGAGCATCCGCAAGATTAAGTGCTGAATATTAAATAAGTTTATATATTTCGATATATCAATATGAATATATATATATATTAATATATATATTTCGATATACGTATATATATATATATATATAGAGAGAAACTATATTCATAATTACAATTTTTTAGTACGTAGCAAATTTTTGAGACTTACCTTCGGCGTGAAATTTTACAGGATTAATTCCATAACGATTACGCAATTGGTCATCGAGATCTGTGACCTCTGTAAATGGACGTATATATTTATCTAGTATAATGTTACCCACATCATTTACTAATGTTACTTGAACAGAAGCCCAGTCCCTATTTCGATCGGGACCAGTAGAAACCACTAAGGTACTTATTGCCACATAATTCCTAATAAAATTAACTATATATTAAACCTTAATATAAGACATGTAAAACTAAAGAGTAAAAATAAACATAATTTACTGCTTGCAAGGTACTATAGTATGACATGGTATAGGTGGAAAAGTTCGTGTAGATCGAGCTGTTTTTAGCCATTTTTTAGGATAATCAGGTGGTATCATTTCATCCCAAAAAAGTCGAAATTTCCGAAACAATTGCATAGTTGCGGTAGCATCTTCGACCTAATAATATACTTTATTAGTTTAAAATTCAGTATTTAATGGATTATATATAAAAAATTAGAAATTAGATTTACTGCGTCATGGCGTCTACTGAGAAGTTGGATATTAATGCCAAGTTCATTTTTTACTATGGTTTTTAGCCCGTATGTTCCCCTTCCTTGAGTTCGAAATTGTTTAACAAGTGAAACATCACGTATCAAGTTCAGTGGATAGTCTATTCTTAATGGCTTAATAATTATAATAATGATAATAATGAAAACGGTAATAATTATAATAATCATAATAATGAAAACGTTATGCATATAAATATCAATAGTAATAAAAATTACAAATATTTACAATTAAATCGTTGGCTATAGCAAAACCAACAAGTATCTTGGTATAGTTATTTGTTGCACTAATAACTTCCGATCTTGCTTCTTCAAAACTAATTCCTGAATATTGGAATATCAATATAAAATCATAGGAATACGTACAGTTATTTTATAATATATAGTATACTGTAGTAATTTTTGGAAGCACTTACCACTTACGTACCAACTTACCATTGTTAACTAATTGCAGAAAACGGGGTTTATCTTCAGTATCACGGACACGCCACGTATCTTGTGGATCATCTGGGCGTATATACCTATTGAATACTACAGAACCATTATAATCCACTAATGCTACTTGTACAAGACGACTTAAGTAGATATTGTCTCTGTTAGGGGCTACTTGAATAAATTCACAATCTATTGATAAAAAGTCACTGATAAAATGGTTGATTAAATTACTAACTATATAACATGTAAAATAAAATAAAGTTAATAAATAAACCAAATCGATACGTATACTTACTCTGGATCTTGCATATTACCTAATAAATAATAAATTTTAACTTTATACTATATGCATCAATAAAGACCGAAATAAAGTAAAGCTTACTGCTGCTGCAGGAAGGCGGTACCGTAGGACAGGCTTGATGAGTAACAGAAATAACGGGCAGCACTAAAGTGCCAAAGAACAAATTAACAATTAACAGGATGAATATTTGTTGATGCCTCATTATCGTTAAATTTCAGTAAAATGTGACAAAATGGTTTTTTTTCTTAAAAAAAAAATTATTTTTTAACGGTAATTTTAGGAACATCTAAAAATATTTATAAGTCTTTGATGAAATGACCGATCAGTAGTTTAGACCATTATATTTTATTTAACTATGCTAATGATATCTTCTTTAAGTTATTCCTTTAAACCGTTATATTAAAAAATGAATTATAACTATTTGAATTGGCAGATTTTAGTTAATACATTTGCTTGTCCCGCAGGTTGTATATTGCATTAATAAGTTTGTGTTCATGAATAATAAATACCACTTTTATATTTTTATATATTTATTAAGTTATAAAATTTCTTCATAAGTTTTTCTATTTATAGTATATTTAGTATATAATATTGTTTCCAGTGCTGGTCGCTCTTATAAATTCAATAATTTGAATTGAACGTTCTACAAGTTCAATGCTTCAGTTATAAACCCATTAAACAAAATTGGTTCAATTACCCAACAATGATTATCATTGGTTTCATAGAATTTGATGAATCCTATGAATCTTCATAGGGTTCATAAAACTTTATAATAATACTAATTCAAAAACAGTGATAAAATAATAAATCTTTTAAAAAAAAATTATGTAATTTGATTATTATCTTCATTATGGATATGTACACCAATTTGAAAACAGCAAGACAGGTGAAATCCGCGCTGAATTGTTAACCCGCTATGCAGATCACATGATGGTGAAGACCGCCTTAACAAACATCATACCCAACGCGGATTTGGTTCTAATGCAGTTACGGGCAAAATGTGACATTTCGAAGAAACACGAAAATGAAAGGTACAATTAGAAATAGCTCAAAAATATGATTTTGAATAATCAAAGTTTATTATGTTTGAAAATTTAGTTACAATAAAATTCGGTAATCCTTGTAATTTACCCGAATCTTATTTTTGATTTTCAGGGGCATATACATGTTGTGCATCGTTTATCAATTCGGAATCAACATGTGCCGTTTACCGATCGATAAATGGCATACGTCACTTATTGACGTTCAAATTACATTAGTAAAGCAGCTTTAATTAGTTACGTATTATTTATATAAAGTAAAAAAAAACAAGTGTTTATTGCGTTCGCTGTTTACTCTTAAATATCGTTAAGTACTTTCGCAATTTTTTTTAATCATAATATAAATCTTTGCTTATGAATCTCTTGAACAAATACTAGAAATATGTATTAGTCAAAGAAAAAAAAAATAAGTATAAGAAATTTTGACAAGTCGCTATTCTAAAAGTCAATGATCAGTAATTTTATCTAAAGAATTTTAGTATTCGAATTTTGTGAATTGGTAAAATGGTAGAGCTTCAATCCGGATAAATCCGTCATCCATTATCCATATCTGAATTTATCCGGATAAATTATTCGAATATCAATAGCGATAGTTATCATGGGCTGAAATTCGTCTAATTGGCTAGTTTCGTAGATCAATTTGTAGATCTACATGTGATTATTAGCCAATCAGATCACATAATTTGCAATTCGTCATTTATAATATTACGGTACTAGAAACGAAAACCTCAAAGAAAAAAATTTATATAAATCGATAAATACATAGATTATGTTCGATTATATACATATAAAAGATAGATAGACGAATATAGAGTAAGGCAAAAAGGCGTTCACTACTAAAACAAAGTCAGAATCAATAAATCTACTAACTATAAATCCAGATTCATATATTTATAATCAATAATGTAAATTGATATTAAAATTAACAAATTAGCTTAACAACTAGTAATTCTACATAATGGGATAAGCTCTATTTAAAATTTCTTTTTCAACTTCTTTCTTGATATGCTCGACAATTTCATTATCCGTTGGTATTTTAATAGGTGGTCTACATGAAGTTGAATATACAATTACTAAAATATATTTAAAGCAACATTAAATAGTATGACCTAACAATCTAGCACAACCAATCAAATATCTGATCAGGAACTCTTGCCGAATAGGTGACTACTCGGTAATAAATCTATTAATAATACAGAGAGACCTCTCTAAGTGCACCCCCCCATAAATGCATTCTCTATATAAATCTCTTTAAGTGCACGGTGTAGTCTGGTCCTAGCTTATAATAATACTATATATTTTGCTCTCTATAAATGCACACCCTCTTTAAGTGCTCATTTTTGAAATTTTTTACTATGGTCCCGAGGGGGGTACATTTAGGGAGGTTTCTCTTTATATTTTATTAGAGGGTCACCTACATCTTCGGATCATAATACGAATAATGACTTTAATAACATACCTCCCATCACGGAAGTGAATTAGTTCGATTGGAAGTACCAATCTTGATGTGCCTAAATAATGTCATACGAGAAATGAAAATTATTTATAATTAAAAAAAAGGCAAAAACTATTCAATTAGTTTTGAATAAAACAAGTTACTTGTGATAAAAGCACCTTCCCACTGAACCACATCATCTATGTTTGGAAACCAAAACTTTAAATCAATTCCATCCCTTTCGCAGATCATTGTTACAATTTTTCTAATTGTTCCCTCGAGCACGGAATGCAATGGTGCTGTAATAACTATTGGTAGACGTGTATCAGGGTTATACATCACAACAAAAAAGTTTGAACTTAAACCTTCGTAAATATTATGGGTATTAGAATCAGAAAGTAAAAGTTCGTTGAAACCAGGTCGCATTGAGGCCTCAAGATCTTTACGATCCCTTGATAAGTAACAAAATTCAAGGGGGGAAAAATTATTGTATCTATATTTAATAAATATCGAACAACAAACATAAGTACCGAATCCATTGAGAATCTTTTACTTCGGCTTCTTTTCTGGGTTCCCCATAAACCTCTACCTAGTGTAAATAAGAAACATGTTTGTTTACAGTTTTGAATCTGAAAAAAAGCACCAAATACAAAATGCGTATGAGACAATCTTTATACCCTGCATTTGGATGAACTAGGTGCATGTAAAGGTGTAAAATGAGCTGCCAATATAGGATGTGATTCCTTGATTGTTGATGACAAATGATATATATCAAAAGTAATAATTTTATATCAAACGTCCACAACGATAAAAATATAAACTTACTTTGAAAGAATAACACACAATCAATGTGATTTTGACCTCACCAACGCCTTTAATGTGCCATGATGTTTCTTCTTCAATCTCAAAATATTTTGTTAATCCAATTTTCAATAATGG